GAAGCAACTGTATTTATTTATTTATTTAACTTTTTCTTTTTCCCATTTATTTTTATTAGTTGGAGGCTAATTACTTGACATCATTGCAGTGGTTTTTGTCATACATTGAAATGAATTAGCCATGGATTTACATGTATTCTCCATCCCAGTCCCCCCTCCCACCTCCCTCTCCACCCGATCCCTCTGGGTCTTCCCAGTGCACTAGGCCCAAGCACTTGTCTCATGCACCCAACCTGGGCTGGTGATCTGTTTCACCCTAGATAATATACATGTTTCAATGCTGTTCTCTTGAAACATCCCACCCTCGCCTTCTCCCAGAGTCCACAAGTCTGTTCTATACATCTGAGTCTCTTTTTCTGTTTTGTTTATAGGGTTATCGTTACCATCTTTCTAAATTCCATATATATGTGTTAGTATACTGTAATGGTCTTTATCTTTCTGGCTTACTTCACTCTGTATAATGGGCTCCAGTTTCATCCATCTAATTAGAACTGATTCAAATGAATTCTTTTTAATGACTGAGTAATATTCCATGGTGTATATGTACCACAGCTTCCTCATCCATTCGTCTGCTGATGGGCATCTAGGTTGCTTCCATGTCCTGGCTATTATAAACAGTGCTGTGATGAACATTGGGGTGCACGTGTCTCTTTCAGATCTGGTTTCCTCGGTGTGTATGCCCAGAAGTGGGATTGCTGGGTCATATGGCAGTTCTATTTCCAGCTTTTTAAGAAATCTCCACACTGTTTTCCATAGTGGCTGTACTAATTTGCATTCCCACCAACAGTGTAAGAGGGTTCCCTTTTCTCCACACCCTCTCCAGCATTTATTGCTTGTAGACTTTTGGATAGCAGCCATCCTGACTGGCGTGTAATGGTACCTCATTGTGGTTTTGATTTGCATTTCTAAGAAGCAACTATATTTAGGGATTGTTGTTGTTATTGTTTAGTTGCTAAGTTGTGTTTGACTCTTTTGTGACCCCATGGATTGTAGCCTGCCAGGCTCCTCCGTCTGTGGATTTCCCAGGCAAGAATTCTGGAGTGGGTCGCCATTTCCTTCTCCAGAGGATCTTCCTGACCCAGGGATTGAACGTACATCTCCTGCATTGCAGACGGATTCTTTCCTGCTGAACCACCGGGGAAGCTCATATATAGGGGATCACTTGCCAAAAAAACCCTCTCTCTTAGCAGGGATTGGATGGAACACTGTGATATTAATGAATTAAGCACAGGCACATTCTGCCGGTCCCCAAAACCTTTCTTTTTTTTAAATTTAACTTTTATGTTACATCACCATTGGTTTATACTGTTGTGTTAGTTTCAGGTGTATAGGAAAGTGATTCAGTTATCCGTATACATATATCCGTTCTCTTGATTCTTTTCCCATACAAGCTTTTACAGATTATTCGGTCCCCTGTGCTATTCAGTAGGTCCTTGTTGATTATCTGTTTCATATATAGTACTGTGTTTTTGTTAAGCCCCAAATCCTAGTTTATCCCTTCCCCCCTCAAAAATCTTCTAATTGGAATCTTAAAGTTGACTTTTTTTTTTTTTCCTGTGTCTATGATTGGTTTTACAGAACAACCCTCCCTCCTCAGTTTTTATAATCCGGGGATTCTCACTGTGAGTAGGAAGCCCCAGTAAAGTGTAGAATCTAAAACAAATATGAGTTAGTTCTTTAGTTAGCTTTCCCCTTGAAGCTGTTATCAAAATTAACCCCAGGGAGCATAAATTTAATGCATCCATCTCAGCACCACCTCCTCTTATCTTGGGAAGTCATAGAAAAGAGAAAAAGAGAACATTATGAACCTTGCAGGAACTCTGGAGTTTTATCAATTATCACAAGCAGCATGAACCCCGAGTCATTGAAATCATCTCAGGGAGTGGGAGGGCGGAAAGCGTGCTTACTTGCAAGGGAGCCTTATTGGCTGAGAACAAATGGGTTGCTATTTTTTATTTGTTTTCTCTGTTCGTCCGTAATGATTACAGGCTGGCCTTGGTGTTTAGCGACAGGATCCAGCAGGTCAGTGATGACAACTCCATCACTGTCATTAGCGCCTTTTGTTTGCAGTGAACATGAAAAGCTGTTCAGTATTAAGAAAGTCCAAGGAAAGAAGGAAGGGGAGGGGTGATATGTGGGGACAAAGTGAGACAGTAAAGGAGAGAGCCAGGAATCCCAAATTCACATTAAAAGAAGTGGGTGCTCCGGTCACTAACTTCACTGGGGGAGGGGCCTCAATTTTGACTCACTGTTCTTTTTATTAGAAGAGTCATTGGTTGTGTCTGTAAAGACTAATCTTTTTTTCTTTTTGGTGCCAATTTGGGTTCCTAGAAATGCACTAAGGAGATACCCTTTTCCCAAAGGGCTTTTCTGCTTCAAGGGTGGTGTCTGGGAATGACTCTCGTTTCAGTATCTTCTCTAGCAGGCAAAGGTAAAATGAAGCAAAATAGAGGAAATGCAGTGACTTTGTTGGGGACCTATTGGGTGTCAGGCACAGTGCATTTTTATGAGCATTATCTCCTCCACTTCTAACAACCTTGGGGTCCTGTTGGTGGTTTTGTTCCCCCTGTACTGATGAGAACAATAAAACATAAAAGTGTTACCTTGAAGATCATGCCAGCTAGTCAGGGCAGAGCTTGGGTTAGAATTCAGGTGTGTCTCTTGTTCCAGACTCACTGCTCTACGCTGCAGCCCACCCACTTCCTCCCCAAAGAAAGAGAGAAAGAGAAACCACCCACTGCCAAACAAAAAACTGAATTCAAAGAGGCAAGTTTAAAAATCTCAGTATTTGGAAGACCATGAAAATGTAGGCAGAAGTATGTATTTATTTGATGATTGAATCATGTGAAAGCAAGGATGATTTTTTAAAAGACATATTGAAAGAAATTATATGAATTATAAAAATGTGTTATTTTTTTCGGGGGGGAACTTACCCTTCCTCCTGGGGTGACCCTTGACAAGGCCTTCTGTGTTCCTTTTTTCCCCTCCCGCAAAAAAAAAAAGTGGGTGGAAGACGAAAGTTTGATATTTGGCTTATGTAAATCATCAGTGAATTTTGTACCCCCTTGTCATTTTGGCTTTCTGATGCCTGACCAAGCTCCTTTGAGTTGAGTGCCTACTTCTTACACACCTCTTACCCTTTTCTGGACAAGTTCGCTGAATGTTGTGCCTTTGGTCTTGAGAAAACCAGCCAATTGTGATGACAGGCATACAGGGAAAAAGACAGGGGGGAGATGTGACTTGGTGGGAGAGGGAGAGAAAAAGAGGGCAGGGCTCTTGGGATGACCAAATCAGGCTGTTTCTGCTGTGACATTGCATTTAACGCCTAGAATTTGACCTTCACCGTGTCTGGGGCACTCTGTGGACCAGGTAAGCTATTGACAGAACATTTATTCAAATACTAGTTAAAGTCAAGGCTCCTGCTACAATGTGACCGATGTGAATGCATTTAAAGGATTTTTTTTTTTTTTAATGGATTCTCAGCTCAGGTTTTCTTACGACAGTCCTGGGTGTCCCTTAACTTCACTCTGGCCGGAGTGATGGGTTCCGAACATGGACTTGTATGCGTCGCTGTGAAAAATTAAGACGTAAATGAAAACCCCAGGACCATGTGGGGAGTGTTGCCACCAGACACCAAGATTGAGGATCAGAGAAGCTGGAAATTCCCTCCTGCCTGGGTATTTGGCCTCCAGCTTTTCCACTTCCCTGTATCATCCTTCTGTTGGGTCTGTGTGCACAGTGTTGTTGTTTAGTTGGTAAACGACTTGTTGGGACCCCATGGAATGTAGCCCACCAGGCTCCTCTGTCCATGGGATTTCCCAGGCAAGAATGCTGGAGTGGGTTGTAATTTCCGCCTCCAGGGAATGTTCCCAACCCAGGGATCGAACCCACAATTCCTGCATTGGCAGGTGGATTCTTTACCACTGAGCCACCAGGGGAAGTAGGGCTCCCCTAATTTGATGGTAAAACCACAAGAGCCTGAATGCCAGTTCTAGTTCTCAGCGACCATTATTAACATCCAAAGGCAAACCGCTGCATGCAGGAGCGCGGTGACCACCTTGGACAGACAGCGTCTATACCAGTGGGCTCCTAAGGCCAGCTCCGCTGCCACTAGGGAGCTCTCAGCCCAATTTGCCCTGCTTCCTTAGCTTGAGACAAGTAACCTTCCAGCTGTTCCGTTTCTCTTTGCAGAGTTTATAGAGTGTATGGTGGGGGGCGGGGGATTGGGGTGTTCAGGGTCAGGACTGAAGCTTTAGGGGCCGGCCCGCCGGGGCTGTTCAAAGCCGGCCTGGACCGAGGCTTCAGCATCACCTGCGTGGACAGGTGGGGCTCGCGCATCTCCGGAGCCACCCCAGACCGTCTCGAGGATGCTGATGTGTTCTGTCCAGTTTGAAAACTGCCATGTCCGGGGAACAGGGATCTCCTCGCTGCCCACTGGGTGCTGGGCATCGGGTCCTGGGCGCCCTCGGCTCGCAGGGGTCCCGGGGGGAGGGGCGGGCATGCTGGGCATCGGGTCCTGGGCGCCCTCAGCTCGCAGGGGGTCCCCAGGGGGGCAGAGAGCGCGGCGTGAGAGCGCCTGGAGCTGCGGGCGGGAAGTCGGGAGCAGGAGGAGGAGCAGGAGGAGGAGGAGTAGAGGAAGTCCCCCGTGGCCACCCCGAAGGGAGGGCGGGACGGTGCCCACAGGGAGCGGGTCAGCCGGCGAGAAGCGGGGCTGCTGGGCTCGGGCGCCGAGGGGCACTGGCCGCAGGGCGCGCGCGCTCCCCGCCGACCCCCGCGGAAAAGGGGGTGGGGGGGCGGCGGCGCGCGCGCGCGCGCACGGGGGGGCGGGGAGGCGGAGCGTGCAGGGCCCTGAGCGGGGGCGCGCGCGGGGCGGGCGCGGGGGGGCTGCCCCGGGGCGGCCCCCCCAACGTCGGGGCGCGGCGGGCGGCGGCGGCGGGAGCGCGTCCCGTCCGGGTCCTGAGGAGCCGCCGCCGCCGCCGCCGCCGCCGCCGCTCGCCAACATGGCGGACCTGGAGGCCGTGCTGGCCGATGTCAGCTACCTGATGGCGATGGAGAAGAGCAAGGCGACCCCGGCCGCCCGCGCCAGCAAGAAGATCGTCCTGCCCGAGCCCAGGTACCGGCTCCCCGCGCCCGGGCGCCGCCGCCGCCCCCCGCGCGGCCGTCAGCGACCCCCTGCGTCCGGGAGGGTCGGGCGCTCAGTCCGCCTCTGACCCCCGGGCCGGCGCTGAGGGGGGAGCGGGCGCTGAGGGGACCGCCTCGCCGTGCCCGTCTCTGAAATGGGGCCTCGGAGGGCTGTTGGGAGGGGACTCCGGGAGAGAGCGCCCCGAAGTGCCCGGCGCGGCCGCCGGCGAGCAGCGAGCGCCCCTGTGAGGGGTTGTTCGGCTGCGGTGTGACTTCGCCGGACCAAGCCCGGCCCCAGGCCCCCTTCTTGCCCCATCCCTTTCTCTCGGGCCAGCCCAGTCCCTGTGGTCCTCCCTGTTTTAAGTGCTGTGCTTCCCTCCTGCCGCATCTATGTCATCTCCGTCCTCCCCTCCAGCCCCCAATTCGGTCCCCCGCCTGCCGCGTCCAACCTTCTGCCCGCCGCTGCCCGTCTTTCCCTGGCGCTCCATCCCGGCCGTTCCTTACGGAGTTCCTGCGGCTGTGCCCCTGCCCAACTCCGTCCTCTCCTCAGCTCCCTCTGGGCGCCTTAGTTGGGGAGTGCAAGCGAGTTGCCTTTTTTTTTTTTTTTTTTTGCCCCGGGCACTTAAATTACCGTTTTCCATGCTCGCTCCCCCTTTTAAGGTCCACCAGGCAGCAAGTAGTGAATTCTGATCCACTTGATTTTGTCTTTGGTACGTGGTGACAGGTCCCACTGGCGGCACTTTATTAAAAGGTTGAAATGGGAATCACTTCAAAACGCATGTTGAATGGGTAATTCCAGGCAGAAATTTTGTTTAAATTACTAGCCAAGGACCCGATTGAATTGGCAAGGGTCTTGGTGAAGTCCATACCAAGTTGTAATTTTTTTGACTCAGAAATAATTTATTATTGGTGAAGTAATAAAAGACTTGATTAGTTCATATCATTGGCATTACCCCAGAAAGGGTCATTTATTAGGTTAATAGTGAGTTTCAGATAGTGTATCAGAGGATTGGAGCTGGATTCTTTTTTTTTCCCCCCTTAGCTTCCTTCCTAAATAACACCATCAGCAGTGGTACAGCAAATGTGGGTTCCTTGACACTATAGCTCTTGGTGGAATTGATGGTACAATGAGGCATCTTCTTAACGGTGAATTTAAAACTATGTATTTTTGTATATTACTGAAAACTAAAACTAAAAGCCGTTTTCCATTTGAAAGCATCAGCCCTTCATGGGTTCTGTGTCTAAGATTGCTTAAATATTACCTTGGCATAAGGGAAAAAAAAATCTTTCTTGTGATGCTGTGTGATAATCACATTATTTTTTACAAGTCCAGGAGCCTGAGCCCCACGACATAGAAAATATCAGTCCCTTTGTGCTGTTTGTTGTGAAAAGTCAAATTGTGTACATGAAGGTGTGCGTCCTGAATGTTTTTGGCTCGCTTGTCCTTCTTAGCCCCTGCATCTTGGTTCTGCAGGGGAAAACCTACTTTGATGAGCAGGAACAGTCAGGAAATGTCAGAGAGAGTGGAAGCCCTTTGGAGCATCGTGAATACAGCACTCCTGTTCCAGACTTTTAACATGTCTGGAGCTCACTGACAAGCAGTGGTGTTTAAAATTTCTGGCAAATGGAAAACTAAGTAAAACAGGAACCCCGAATGAAACCTGAATTTAAAAAAAAAAAAAACAAAACCAAAAAAACCCCTGCATTTCTATAAATGTCATATATAATGCTTAGTTTCTTTTCCTCTTTTTCTTCCTTAAGGACAGGGAATCCTAAGTATATAAAGTATCTGTATGTAAAATCAACAAATCTTAACTCATGGACAGTTTTTTTTTGGGGGGGGAGGGGTGATATATACTATTATTAAAATTAGGAACTTCTGTTCATTTTGTTTTTCTTGGTGTTTTGAACTTACTGTGACTTCTGCTTTTTTAATGTCCCTCCTGAGAACATCCTTAGTGCTTAGGGTATTCACTTCCTTGTGTGAAGGCCTTTGTTGTCAGTGACATTCTTTGGTAATGCTCTCTTTAAGGCAGAATTAGTGACGGGCCAGCAGATTTCTCATGACATTTTAGAATTGAGGCATAGAAACAGGAGAGTAATTTTAGGAAGCAGCTCTTTAGTAATTGTTATTCTGTTGCTGGTTTTTTGTTTTTTTTTTTTTCCCCCCAAATAGACTTTTGAATTAGGCCATTGGAATGTTCTCCAGAGATTCTGACTTGTTTGAATTTATCTCAACTGGCTTTACTTTTCTCCTGTGACCATTCACATAGTCACTGCCACTCCTTGTGCTGAGCTAGGATTCTGTACATTGAGATCATCAGGTAAAACATCGTCACATCTTTCTTCAGCTGGATGGCAGTTGGTGGCTTACCTGCTTGATTTGGGGATGGGGTGGGAGGTTGGGGGATTTCTAGATCTGGTAAGAAAGTAAATTTCACATGAAAATGCCTCAGCATCATGACTCAAAAGACTAGTGTGATTTCACTCTTTAGTGAAGGGTACAGGTCAGATGTTCTCTGATAAGAGTTTCTATTTCGGCTTCATTTTGAGGAAAGCTATGTGGTCACCAGTCTCTGGCACTCCTGAGCAAGAGGTTTAGCTTTATATGTTCAGTTTCTAAATGGGAAGCATAAAACTCGCCACTGGTTGATCCCCAGTGACTCTTTTTTCCAGCTAACTATTTGAAGCCACGGTAGCATTTTTTGTGCTTCCTTATTTCACTTACTTCACCTTTTCCTCCAGTTTTGCACAGAGAGACAACAGAACAAAGCACTATCCAGCTAATTTCAATGAAATGAGGAGTGTGCAGTCCCCTGCCTATTACGGGAGAATCTCACAAAATGGAACATTCCGCCCAGGGGAGATTTTGCTTCTCAGAGACGGCAAAGAGGCAACCATTTTGTTAGACTGACACGTTACTCAGTTAATGAACCAATGAGTGTAAATCCTGTAAAGACTGCCTATTTGTTCAAATTATACAACTGCTTTAGTTTACTGAAACATTTGTTGTGCTAATGTAGGTGATAATGGGGTCTATTGGTGACAGGCAACTGTGACCCATGGACACTCTGCGCATGCCCAGTTGAGAACACACACTGTCAGATGTGTGTGCCAGTCATTTTATGCCATGTTAGGAAGAAACATTTAATAGGGACTAATTCAGAAACCAAGGCCTACAAAGGGTCAGCACCTTAAGCCCTGTAGAGTCAAGGCAGCTTTTCCTCTGGTCTCATTACTCTCATAATCTTTTCTGAACAGCAGGATTCAGTTGACTTGAGTTGACACATTCTTGCAAGAGGTTCAGTCACAAAATCGATCTCTCCTCCAGAGTTTCATTTCTATTCAGTGGACATTGAAAATTCAGGCTCATCCATCACAAAACTTGTCCTTTCCAAGTCATGGGAAAGCCTGAAAATGTTTAAAGAGCCTTTATAATTTTCTGGAAACATTTCGACTGTCCTGAAGAAGGTTTGTGGTACTGTTTATTCCATGAATTCAGTGCACAGCTGTAGAGCTGTTTTCCTGAGGCAGGCAAGGTCTGGCCTGACAGATCTTCCTTCAAGGGGCTTACAAGAGCCAGCTCACTAGGAAAAGACCCTGATGCTGGGAAAGATTGAGGACAAGAGAAGGCAGTGACAGAGGATGAGATGGTTGGATGGCATCACCGACTCAATGGACATGAGTTTGAGCAAGCTCCAGGAGATAGCGAAGGACAGGGAAGCCTGGTGTGCTGCAATCCATGGGGTCACAAAGAGTCAGACATGACTTTGTGACTGAGCAACAGAACAACACAGTCTAGTTGGAAATACACAGGGAATTGAGAAAGATGTTGACTTTCATGCGCAGTTGCCAGAGATTCTTTTTAACTGTGGACAGGTAGCACAGAGTGGCCTTTACTCTTCTGTTTTCACGGAATTCATTATGCCTGCTCTGTGTTTTGCAGTAATTTTTTAATAATCCCCCTTGACAAGCTGCCGAGCCGTAATATACGTAGTAATATGGTCCTGTGCACCCGTCTGCTTTTAAAGTTAGCGTACGTGATTGGTCTTGAAAAATAGCTTCGTTTTCTTCTAATGTGGAAGTGGGATTTATTCTGTAATTTCCCAGCTCCAGTCAGTGAGTGACCAGAGGAGGATTTGAAAGATTCCTCTCCATTTGATTTGGAGGGTATTCTATGCCTGCATGGCCATCTCTGAACTACAGAGTCAGGATTGAACGAACGAACGAACAGCCTTCAGGAAAAAAAGCACTCTTTATTGTCAATAGGAGCATTTCTATTATGAAACAGTGTGTGCTTCTTTTTCTCTAAACTATACTTTCCAAATGTAATTTATTCTGACCTTTCAGCTATTACTTCATTCTTGGTCAAAGTTAATTTGCACCAGCGACTTGAAAAGGTAAGGACTGCATGCAGTCAGGAGTTCTTAGAAATAGATGTTCCCTTGCATTCAGTTTGGGACCCAGAATCTGCCCAAGTCAAGCATTGTAAAAGGCTTGTGTCGAGAGACCGGTTGATGTCTTTGAGTTCAGGCAGTCCCAGCTCTTAGAAGCAATGTGTTCTGAGCTGGCCTCTTAAAAGAACTTCCTTGGTACCCTGAATCGGGCTTCAGCAAACATCTGTTTGGATCCAGTGTCTTAGAGGCCCTAAGAAGGGACACTTCAGTCTTCAGCAGGTGGATGGCAAGCAGAGGAAGAGATGGCCTAGAGCAGAGAGGACCCCTGGGGTCCCTGCAGTCCAGTCAAAGGAGAGGGAAGCTTAAATTCCCCAAGGCAGTGATGTGATAACCGCCATTCACTGAAAGCGCCCCCTCTGCGGGCAGTCTGCATCTTGAGGGCGTGTGTTCCCCACAAGAGCACTGTCAGGCGATTAGCATCGGCTTATTTCCGTTACCCCAAGAAGCAGGTGCCTGAAGAAGCAGGTGCCCGGGAAGGTTGAGGAACCCGGCCCAGGTGACCACTTACCGTGGCTGAGGCAGGAGCCGGATTCAG